TTTTTTTTTTTTTTTTTTTTTTTTTTTTTTTTTTTTTTACCATCGGTGGTTACCTAATAGACAATATAGCATAAACATCTAAGCTCTTTGGATATTAAGTGTTTTAGCTTACTCTTATAATATAGTAAGTGGATGTTCTCCTGAAAGTTTTTTCTCCTAGTCACCTAAGAAAAACTCTCCAACAAACAAATTATCTATCTTTGAACAAAAGCAATGTAAAAAAGCTAGGCACTTCTGTTCAGCAAATGGCTAAATAAAATGGTCATATACTGGCTCTCCTTTATGCCTTTCTTTGCATATCAAGTTTATCAGAGCAACTTAAACTTTAAAGCAGCAGTCTCCAACCTTGTTGGCACCTGGGACCGGTTTTGTGGAAAACAATTTTTCCACAGACGGAGTGGGGGTGGTGGCGGTTTTGAGATGATTCAAATGCATTATATTTATTGTGCACTTTATTATCACTACATTGTAATATATAATGAAATAATTGTACAACTCATGATAATGTACAATCAGGGGAGCCTGAGCTTGTTTTCCCTGCAACTAGATGGTCCCATCTGGGGGTGATGGGAGATAGTAACACCCTAAGTGTGTTGCTTATGTCCAGTCTACTCTGTAACCTCATTTTGGCTGCTGTCCAGAACACCGTGCTTCACAAAGACAGGCAGTTGGAAATGGAAGCAGGCTTTTCAGTGCTTTCGTGGCAATCTCACAAGACATTCCACTCTGACTTTAATTCAGAATGTATGGAGATGTAAAGTTGTCTCAAACATACTTTTAAGGGCATCATCATTTGTGATCTTAAACAGTTGATCCTCTTCTAGCATGAACAAAGTCAATTCACCTGGCTTATTCACAAATGGGTTGTGGATCCATTCCTTCCCAGTTCAGGGCTGTTTTGTGGTTGGGAAATAATGCTCAAACTCTTTGAAAGCTGAGATAGGTGACCATGCGCCAGCTGGGAGAAAAAAGGTCCTGGCTCAGTCTCTTTCAACATCTCTGCTCATGTTTGAAACATGTCAAAAAATCCCAATGTTCACTTGTGGCCCCCATGATGCCAGTTTGGGTTTGAATGCAGCCACTTTATCTGCCAACTTGAACACAGCTGCTGTTCTCCCCTGAGGTGACAGATTGAATATGCCACATAGCAAGCAAGTTTTTTTTTTTTTTTTTTGAGACAGAGGCTCCCTTGCTCAGGCTGGAGTGCAGTGGGACGATCTTGGCTCATTGCAACCTCTGCTTTCCAGGCTCAAGAGATTCTCATGCCTCAGCCTCCCGAGTAGCTGGGATTATAGATGTGCGCCAGCACGCCTAAGTAATTTTTGCATTTTTTAGTAAAGACGGGGTTTCTCCCTGTTGGCCAGGCTGGTCTTGAACTCCTGGCCTCAAGTGATCCTCCTAGCTTGGCCTCCCAAAGTGCTGGAATTACAGGCGTGAGCCACTATGCCTGGCCAAGTACGCAAGTTTTGTGACCCATTCTGTGTCAATGAAATGTGCTGCCAGCGGTAACTGTTTTTCTAAAAGAAATCTCTGGAATGCCTATCGTAACTCTGGCCAGTGATCTACCTTTAGGAAGCCATCTCTTTTCTGTGTATAAGAGAAGACGCTGCGTGCTCTTCTCTTGGCAACTCCTACTTTGACTCCTCACAGAGTTGCACAAACAGACATGAATTAAGGGCATGTACCTTAATGTGGTTGAAAATTTTAATCACATCCTGCAAAATGTTAGTTCAGGAGGCTTTTTTTTTTTTTTTTTTGAGACTGAATCTTGCTCTGTCACCAGGCTATAGTGCAGTGGCACAATCTTGGCTCACTACAACCTCTGCCATCATGCCCAACTACTTTTTGTATTTTAAATAGAGAGAGGGTTTCACCATGTTGGCCAGGATGGTCTTGATCTCTTGACCTCATAATCTGCCCGCCTTGGCTTCCCAAAGTGCTGGGATTACAGGCATGACAGGTGGCATTTTTCAACTATCCAGCATCTCTATGGATGACACAGTGCACAGACTCCCATTCAGAAGCAAGCTCTTTGACCTGAGTAGCGAAACCAGAAAGTCATGGCAGCTGCTCCAGCCCTGCATGCATTGATAAAAAATGACCAATTCAGCTTTCCTGATATGTAATTATTTAAAGACTTGAATAGTTCTGCAGCTGTGGTGTTGGTAGAAAGCAAAAGTGCACACAGCATATCCTCATGCACATCCTCCTGAAAAACATATCACCCAAAAGCATTGTTGCCTTGTCAACACTGGTAGATTTGTTAACCTGGATTGCACACCACAGTGACTCATTAACCCTCTCTAACAATTGTGCCTCAGTATACTCTATTTCATCAATTCATCTACTTATGGTGCTAGCCAGAAGAACATGTGCCATCTTTTGAACTGCAGTCTCTCCTAAATGTTCACAACAAATGTCCTTAGCGGCAGGTAGGATCAACTCTTCGCCAGTAGTAAAGGCCTGCCTTAGCTTTAGCAATGTGGTCAGCCACTAAGAATGATGCTCTCAGTGTAGACACATTTGATGAAGTGGTGGCTTTCAATAATTGCTTCTGTTCCTTACGTTCACGATTTTTCTTTCAAAAAACTCCAAAGGTTTGCCTTTTAATGCAGGCTGTTTGGTTTCCATGTGGTGAAGCACTTTTAAAAGTTTCATGGCTTTCCTGGATAGCTGGTCATCACATATAGACAAAGCAGGTTTGGAGAATATGAATCACCTGTTGCAATGAACCTGTAATTTGTGTAGGATGCTTGGTATTTTCTTTTAAATGCAGCTTTCTTTGCTGGCAGTCTTAGAGTCTTCTGCTGTCTCATCATTAGGTCTTTCCCCCTTTTCAAAGAAGCTCTCCAAGGACTTTTTTTTTTTTTTTTAATTCATCTTGGCTAGGGATAGCTTGTGGGCTTACCAAAACTGTGACTGAGACAAGTGCACAGTGCAGGAAAGAGGCACGGATGTTAAGTGGTAAATAAAATAATGGGCAGGCCACATGCAGACTAAATGTCAGGTTCTGACTTAAAGCCTGCCACCAGATGCAGTTAATTGTAACTTGCTACTCACTCTGATATGAGTCTGCAGGCAGTTGATTTATGGTCTCTGTGCAGTCAAGCCTCTCTGCTAATGTTAATCTGTTTTTGCAGCCACTCTCCAACACCACCTCAGATCATCAGGCATTAGATTCTCGTAAGGAGGCACAACCTAGATCCCTGGCTTGCACAGTTCACAACAGGATTCATGTTCCTATGAGAATTAAATGCTGCCAATGATCTGACAGGAGGTGTGGCTCAGGTGGTAATACAAGCCATTGGGAGCAGCTGTAAATACAGATAAATCTTCTCTGACTTGCCTGCCACTCACCTCCTGCTGTGTGGCCCAGCTCCTAACAGACCAGGGATGGGTACCAGGGGTTGGCAACTCCTGCTTTAAAGCTTTAAAGTTTTAAAAGAGTAAATGTGCAGTTGAAATATTTTTCCATTCTGCAAAGTTCAGGGATTGTTTTTTGCCTTATGCACCAATACAAATTAATTTGAAGTAACTGTTTAATACCAGAAAAATAAAAGATCTATTAATTTCTAAAATGTGCTACATATGCTACAGGTTACCATAATTTAAATAACTTAAAGTTTTGTTAAACATAATCTAGGTTACTGTGCCTTTTATTAATATATGCCTTTTGTTAATAATGTCCAAGATCAGGGTCAGTTTTAAATAGGCAAAAATTTCACTTTTCAGCACACCAAATATCCAAATTCATTTCAATTTTATTTTAAAATGTTCTTCCCTAAAATTATTTTTAAAGCTTATTTCTTCAGGGTCTGCAACTAGTTTATATTCTTCAAAGATTTTAGGAAAAAATTTAGTGAACAGACAAAACCAGAATATGCCAACCCCATGACATTATATGCTAATATACAAAGAAAAAAAATTCTGTATCTACCAGAGTTAACAAGATGAGGCATAAAACCTCACTACAATTAAAATATATGTTCTGAATCAGTAAAAATGGAGACAGAAAAAGGTTTCTGGTTAGAATATCATGACATATACTCTCTCATATTTTAAAAATAAAAGTACATGATAATTGATACTTTATATATGTAACATGTTTACCTATTATACATTACTAATTTTTTTTTTTTTTTTTTTGAGACAGAGTTGCACTCTGTTACTCTGGCTGGAGTGCAATGGCACAATCTTGGCTCACTGCAACCTCCACCTCTTGGCTTCAGGCAATTCTCATGCCTCAGCTTCCCAAACTGCTGGGATTACAGGCATGAGCCACCACGCCCAGCATTTTTTTTGTCTTTTTTTTTTTTTAATTTTAAGAGCTGGGTCTTGCTCTGTAGCCCAGATTGGAATGCAGTGGTGTAATCTTGGTGTCAATGCAGCCTCAAACTCCTGGGCTTAAGTGACCCTCCCGCTCTAACCTCCCAAATAACTGTGATTACAGGCATAAGCCACTTGCACCCAGCTGCAATTCTAATATTTTAATAATTTACACAATTATATGCCAAGTAGAATATCCTGAAACATGAACACATACATCATATTCTGAATTTAGCACTTCTATTTTAATTATATTTTACTTTCTTACCTGTTCGGAAGTGAGATGTTGATTTGTGATCTCCTATAACAAGACGACCAGTATGTTCTTTCTATAAGAAGGTTGAAAATGTCTTAGCATTTGAGACCACTAATTTAATCTTATTGGGTATCTACTATGTGCTGAAAACTATTCTAGGCTTCTGGGATACAGTGACGACAAAAGACCATTAGATCTCTGCCTCTAAGGAGATTACATTCTAGCAAGGGTAGGAAATGGGGAAGGGAGACAGGCAAACATGATCATTATTTATACTATGTTAGAAGGTACTAAATGCCATTAGAACAAAACAGACCTGAATAAGGGGTAGAGCAGATTGAAATTTTAAACAAGATGAATAGATAGCTAGAAAATTGAGTCAATCTAAACATTTTCTTTCCTAAAGGCCAGTTAAATGAGTTGCTTTAACTTCCCACCTGCTCTTTCTGCTGCCTGAAGTATATCTCATGGACAGAAAGCAAATGAGATTTAGCCAGACAAAAATGAAAAAATTAAAACTTATAATGTATCATATAAAGTGACAGATCTTATTACAGCATATCATAATCATTAGCTATTTCATTACTATTTGACTAAAATAAACTCCTGATTTCAACATGTAAAAAAGAACAATTTAAAACAATCTTGTACTCTAAACATAAAAATACATCTGATTCAGTATTACCAACTGATCAGGCTACATAATTACTCTCAATTTAATCAGTACAATCCACTCATTAGGGTTCATAGTTTCATAAAGTAAAAAAGTGCTCATTAAAACACCATGTGAAGGTGAGAATGGGACTCTGGAAAGTAATCTTAACCAATCATCTGTGAAGGTACAGTAACAAACCTTCCCATTGTGAAAAAATGACAGACGCAGTCTCCATATACAAAAATGATGCTACAGAAAAACTTCAAGCGTTAATGCTCATTGTTCTACATGCCATTAACACATAAGCAAATCAATGATTCAGTATTATTTCTTTAGGTTTCAAAACTTCGACTTTGACTTTAGATGAAACAACCTATAATGAAAACAATTTTCCTCCTCATCGGTGTTATGGTGAAACAATTTTATTGTCAGCTTTCTTAAAGTTAGTTTCCAAGAACCATAGGGATGTTAAGTGAGGACTTATATTTGCATGAAACAAGATAAATTGCAGACTATTTTCTATGACAAATTACAAATTGGGAAATCTGGATTACTGAGATATTATACAAATGCTTTATTTAAATAGGTCTCAGTGTTTTACATGACCTCTACCTATCCCCAAACCCACTTTTGTAGTCTGGCTAACTCATCCTTTGAGATTCAGATCAATTCTATTTTGGAGAAGCTTTCTTGGACTGCTACACCAGAGTTAGCTGCCCTCTGTGATTCCACAGCACTACATACATGGTTTTCTTAAAGCAACTACAATTCTGTATTGTTATTATGTGGTTTCCTTCATTAATAGCTCCAAACATGTATTATTGAGCTATATGAACACCCAGGATTCAGCACAGTAGTAGGTAGTCTGTAATTGTTGGAAAAATGAATGAATGTATTCTTACGTATTTAACAAACCAAAGAGCAGAATTTCATTTTAAGGGGCTTAAAAAAAGAAAAAAAAAATTCCTATTTCTTTTAAATTTAGTTTGTAGGAAGACTATTAGGACAATGTTAGGAAAATAAATTTACTTGCTTACAAAAAATAAGCATCTAGAGATCCCTGTATAAACTGCTAGGAGAAAGAAAGATTTTTTACAATAGATATTTTCCTGGCACTTGTTTTACACAGTTGATCTCTGAATACTCTGTGTGAGTCCACTTATACTTGAATTTGTTTCTGCCTCTGCCACCCCCACACAGTAAGACAATCCCTACTTTCCAGTCCACTCAACATGAAGACTATGAGGATGAAGACCTTTATGATGATCCACTTCTAATTAATGAACAGTAAATTATTTTCTCTTCCTTATAATTTTCTTGATAACATTTCCTTTTCTTTATTGTAGGAATACAGGATATAAGACATGTAACACCCAAAATATATGTTAGCTGATAATTATGTTATCAGTAAGCCTTCCAGTTAACAGATTATTAGTAGTTAAGTTTTTGGGGATTTGAAAGTCATATGCAAACTTTCAACTACCTAAAGAACCAGCACCCCTAACCCCCACATTGCTCAAGGGTCAACTGTACCTTCTATTAACGTTAACAAAACTGACAGGCATTTCAAAATATCTTGAACACTTTTAAGGTTTTTTTCCCTTGGTGTTCTACACTTCTCTATCTAGTAACAAACTACGGGTATTGATCGACTTACGACCTGTGCAACTTATGACCATTCGACTTTATGACCACAAACGCTAGCCACGACTGCTCCGCGTCTGGCAGTGCAAACGTTGCCCAGCTGGGCGTACGACAGTGCGGACCAGCTTCCGGCAGCACTACCATCTCCGCGTGCATATAGCCTACTCAACTTACGACCAAATCGTATTACAACCGGTCTGTCGGAACCAATCGTGGTCGTAAGTCGAGCACTAGCTGTATAGAAATAATCTCTGAAAGTGTAGTCTTAAAATTAGGTTTTTGATAAAGGATATTCCCTTGGTTACAATTTCAAAGGCTGGAGGGAGCTATAAAATATGACAGACTTTCACTTTGGCCAGAGGTTTCACAAGATAACCTACCCATAAGAAATATCTTCTATCAAACCACTGGGCCGACATATGGAAAATCATAAACTTTGACATCTCTTTTCTCCTATACAGACTCCTTGAACCAAATTTTTCTCTGTGCAGTCTTCAAACTTTACTGAATCCTGGAAGTGGCTCAAAAATAATATACATTGTATGTACTTAGTTAAGCCCAATGTATTTCCCAAAGCCAAAAGAAATCATGCAGAACAGGAAAATGGAATCCAAGTGTATTCAATCCTTCTTACTTAGCACACATAAAAATGGCATTATTTTCACAGAAAAGATAAAAATACACACCATCTGATGCTTACCTTTCCTGCACCCATAAGTCTCAAGAACTTTTGTTTTCTCTCTTCATTACCCAAGTCTGCTGCCTCCCAATTGCTAGATCCCAGCTAGAAAAGAAATTGGTTGATTAATTTTTTTTGCATAAGTGTTACAAAATCTAAAGTCTACCTGTAATTCCCAAGTTTTTTTTCCCTGTCAGTTTTAACTATAAACAGGGTTTATTTTTTTTGCTTAGTTAAGCATATGCATCACATTCAAATTTACTCCTTTTCTATTACCTCACAGCAGAATCCTTTCGTTCTTTTGCAGCCAGAGCTGAGTCTCAAAAGTTTGCCTGTATTAGAGTCACCTAGAGGGCTTGTTAAAACAGACTGCCGGGCTACAGCCCCAGAGATTCAGCCCAGTCTGGAGTGGGGCTCTAGGATTTGAATTTCAACAAATTCCTAAATGATTGCTGATGCTGTTGATCTGGGTACCACACTTTAAGACCCACTGCCCTGGAGCCTTGCAGGGTCCTAGAGCACCTAGTACTCTGAACTTAGATGGCAGCCAGAGTTGTTACCTGATGTTAAAAATTCTGGCTTTATCAGTTTGCTAACTTTTAACTTGAGAAAGAAAATTTTAACTTTTCAGTTTCTTTTTTGAGCAGCTCTAGTTGTTAGGATTAAGATGACATTATTTTTATTCTTTCTTAAAAGTCTTCCAAAGAACAAAGGGAAAACTCATTTATTTATTTTTGAGATGGAGTTTCACTCCTGTTGCCCAGGCTGGAGTGCAATAGCGCGATCTGGCTCACTGCAACCTCCACCACCCGGGTTCAAGCGAATCTTCTGCCTCAGCCTCCTAAGTAGCTAGGATTACAAGTATGCACCACCACGCCCAGCTAATTTTGTATTTTTAGTAGTGACAGGGTTTCTCCACGCTGGTCAGGCTGGTCTCGAACTCCCGACCTCAGGTGATTCGCCTGCCTCGGCCTCCCAAAGTGCTGGGATTATAGGTGTGAGCCACCGCACCTGGCTACTTATTTTTAAAAGAATAGACCCAAACTGATTCTATCTTGCAATTATCAAATGGGTCCACTGAACTCTTTTATAAGTCTAAGAAATATGACGGAATCCTAGTGATCATATTTTTCTCTACATCTTGAAACAAATGTAAAAACTGTTTCATTATCATTCATTATTCCCAATGATGCTAAAAATAACTAAAATAATTTTAAAAAGTTATCTCACTGTATTGTCCAAAGTATTTCATCACCATCTTTCAAGACATACCTCTGTTGTCTACTTATAGCTTTCACTGAACACAGATGGGAATTCACAGTTTTTCATTTTCCATTCATAATGGCAAAGAAAAAAACTGACAGAAGGCATTAATCATTATTAAACGAAGATGAAAGTGAATGCAAAATGACAGGCAGTTGTATTCTAGACTAATGATGATGATAAAATTAACTGTGCAAAAATCTCAGACTATGAATTTTTGGATAAGGATTACTAGAAGGCTTTTTTCCCCACCCAAGAATCAACAAGGAAAAGAAAAACAAACAAACAAACAAACAAAGATATGTACTCTCACTGGGAGAGCCATTGGCAGGAAAGACTTCATCTTGCAATATTTTGCAGTAAGAGCCAGGATGATCCCATTTTGTAAAAGGAGGTGTGACTGTTTCATCTCATCTTTTACCATTTTTATGCATCAAAATTTACTTGATTTGGTTGCAAATGGACAAAGAGTGAAGACAGGTATATATACAAGGTGACTGGAAGGAAAAATGAAATAAAAATATTAATATTCACTGAACTTATCATTCTAATTAAGTTTATAATCTAAAAATAAAAATGTTTTGCAATTATGGAGCAAGGATGACAAATCCTTCTTCAACACAAAACATAGGCAATAGAAGGTTGCAAAAATTCTTCAGGTATTGTATTTTGATGATGCAAATGCAATCCAGGTTTGAACTTCAAGGGTCCCTTATAATTTGGTTTTTTTCAACCAAATGCAGATCCATCTCAAGTATATGGAAGGCTGATTTTTCCTATTCTTGGGTTTGACAGGGCTGGCTGCAGGACTTGAGTATGCAAGATTTGCCAAGGAGGTGGGTGGGTCCTAAAACTAATCTCCCATATTTAGTATGCTGAAGGAAGACTGTATATGTCACCAAAATCAAGAAAACATAGTTTATAAATTTGAATTTGCTATTGTTAAATTCACATTAAAATTCCTAATAAAGTTGTTTTGCATTATCCCCTTTTATTCTTATTTCTAAAAATTATTTGTAAAAGACTAAAAGAATATTTAAAAAACACTATTTCTCCTGGGCATATGACAGTTAAAGCATTTGTACCAATCTGGACCCATTTGTGCTTCTAAATTCTCATTAGTGGAAGGGCTTATATGCTCTCATAATTTTGGCCTCCTAAGTTCCAAATCTCTACTTCTTTTCATGTGACCCTTGATATATTATTATAGGCCATTTAGTTCTTACCTATTTCTGGCTCAATATAGTTAAAGTAATAGTGAAGCTTCAGTTTTGATTCTGTAAGCCAGGATCTGACATTTAATTTTAACTTCTTATCTATAAAGAGAGGCATCTTTAAAAGAGTATCTTAAGACACCGGGGCACAGAGAGGCTATGTGACTTGCTTCAATCCTCTGACCATCCTCTGTTTTTTCCACATCATATTCTCCATGATCAAATGAGACAGAATACTGAAAGTGGTCTATGAACTAACTACTGTTATAAAAATGTAGAGAATTACATTAAAAAAAATCATCGAAAAACCAATTTTCTTGATTCTGTTTCTATTAAAAGAGCAAAACATCTTCGGTGTTTATATCAATAACCCTGTCATCTACAACTTCTAATCCCAATGTTTTAAGAAAATATTAAGTCCTGTCAGTTCTTCTTTTCAAAGTCCTTAAAGTAGCAGTCCCCAACTTTTTGGCATCAGAGACTGGTTTTGTGGAAGACAATTTTCCACAGAGGAGGTGGTTTTGGGATGATTCAAGTGCATCACATTTATCGGGCACTTTATTATTAGTACATTGTAATAGATAATGAAATAATTATAAAACTCACCATAATGTAGACTCAGTGGAAGCCCTGAGCTTCTTTTCTTACAACTAGGCAGTCCTATCTAGCGGTAATGGGAGACAGTGACAGGTCATCAGGCATTAGATTCTCACAGGGAGTGTGCAACCTAGATCACTTGCATGTGCAGTTCACAACAGGGTTCACGCTCCTATGAGACTCTAATGCTGACAGGAGGCAGAGCTCAGGAGGTAATGCAAGCCATGGGGAGCAGCTGTAAATACAGATGAAGCTTTGCTGGCTGGCCCATAGCTCACCTTCTGCTGTGCGGCCTGGTTCTGTGGCCCAGGAGCTGGGGACTCCTGCCTTAAAGTACAACAGCAAGTACTTTGCCCAAATGCTGCATTCTGAAAAGCATGTTAATGCCCTACACAATTTAAGAGAGATTCCTTAGCACCTCTCCTAACCTCCCCACTCCTCCCACTCCCTATAAGATAGCTTTCATTTCTCCACTCCAAGCCAATGAAACTACTTTTAGGTTGTCTTCATCCTTAATACCCTTTACTACAGACCTGCAATTAACTTATCAATACATATCCTAGTGACTCTTAGAATTTACTCCTACATTGTCAGCATTTTTCTAGATTTCTATTTTGTGATTTAGTATCGAGTTTTAATATTTAAAAAAAAAAAGTTTTGTTATCCCAATTAGATGTGAGGTCAATGGGCGTAAAGAAAACTTCAATGATCTCTTACATACTATGGATACTTATTAGAAACTCTGGCCCAACTACATATTATAGCTAGCTGATTTTCTATAACAACTTGGAGGTATTTTAATGAATGTATTACATATGGTTTAAAAAAATTTTTTTTTTTAAAAGTACTGGCTGAGCGAGGTGGCTCACACCTGTAATCCTAGCACTTTGGGAGGCCGAAGTGGGCAGATCGCTTGAGTCTGGTAGTTGGAAAGCAGCCTGGGCAACGTGGCAAAACCTGGTCTCTACTAAAAACACAAAAAAATTAGTCAGATGTAGTGGCTTGCAGCTGTAGTCCCACCTACTGCGGTGGTGGTGGGGGGAGAGGGGGTTGAAGCAGGAGGATCCCTTGAGCCAGGGAGGTGGAGGCTGCAAGCAGCACTGATCATGCCACTGGCCTCCAGCCTGGGAAAAAGAGTGAGCCCCTGTCTCAAAACAAAAACAAAACACAAGTACTTAAAGATAGGCTTATATGATCATGAAAGGTCTTAAAGATCATCTAGTTTAAACTGACCTTTTCAGAACTGTAAACTTAATGACTTAATCTCTTTACCTTTCTGTTAAATTGCGTATCACCTGGGGTCTCCTGTCATGCTAAAACATTTCTGAGGGTAGCAAAACAGGTGTCTGACATCCCAGCAATCAAGTCACAGTTACAAATCAGGAGGAAAACAAGGTAACAGCTTTTTAAATGGCAGCCAGGTTACTCAAAAGCATGAATCAATTCCTGAGAAAACGTGAATTACCATATTAACAAGATCTAAAAGCCAGTAGCAGAAAGAACAGAGAGCACCAATAAACTTCTCTAGATGCCCATTCATCCCCAAATCTTCACTGACTGCTAATCTTTCTGCAGAGCTAAAGTCGATTCCTTTAAAGACCCTTACTATTCCGGTCCTCACCCCACCTCCCACTCAGAGGGGTAGGTTTTAACACCATCTCATTCGCTACCAAGTATTGTTCAGTGAGCCTTTAAAATTTTATGAAAAGCATTGAAATGCACTATAGAAAAATTTAAAGCTTTATGTATTCAGAAATTAACAGTACTTTAAACAAAACTGAAAAATTCCTAGATACTCCTTCATCATCCTTAACGATGACCTCACCGCGCCCTCTCCAACAATTTCTCCATGAACGTTCCAAAGACACTTATCCACTGTATGAAGGACGTAGTTTTACGTTTACTGGTTACCTGATGTTTCCATGACACTGCGCTAGGCCAAATATACAAAAAGGCCTAAAATAAGCATCATATTTATCTCCGAATTCCCAACACCTGTCACTGCAGTAAATGTTGAATGGGTTAGTTTAAGGGATAAACCGTTTGCTATTAAAACCGGTAAAGTGGGGGCTGGGGAAGGAAACTGCGTTTGATGGCGAGGAGAGGTAAGGAGAACGAGGTATTAATATCCGACATCAAAATGGGCTTCTAGGTCTCAACGTCTTAGATCTCACCACCACAGTCAGAACCAAATTACACCCGTGGCACAATTTTCGGCTCAATGTTGTTCTCGGTTTACCCTTACTAGTGCAGTTGACGTTAACTCTCAACGGCACATTGCGAAAATCATCCTGGCCGGAAAAATCTGTCCAAATGTGCACGAACATTTCGACACTGTCACAGGAATACTTAGAACCCAAAACAGGGAGCGTCTTGCCGTCTCTATCCTGAGTACAAACGCCGGAGAAAGCATCCTTATCGGTCCCTCAAAACGCACGTATGAAATCCCTTGACTAAGCTCTTTCACTCCTCGACTCTCTCAGAATTTCCTTCCTCAATCCCCCTTCCTACGCAGGTCTCCGGCTCTCAGCTTATGGGCCTCCTAAAAACCTTCCGACTCTAATAACGATTAAGGGAGACATTGCCCACTCATTCTGGTTTCTCCCCTGGCCTCTCTCGCTGCAGGCCACCTCAGGCGCGTCCTCCTCCATCCACCCTTCCCGGCCTACTCAAGCCTTTAGTAGGCCTCAACCCTCAGCCACTCCGCCATTGTTATTTACATCGTCGTCTGGGGAGGCTGAACGCTTCACCCCGTGCGGGTGAGACTCTCTGGCAGCACTCATGCTTGCGGGGATCCCGACGAGAAACGTGGAACCCTCTCGCCGCTCTCCTCAGCCGCAACACCAGCAGCGTGCAATCCGCCACCGGCCCAAGCAGTGCCACTCCAGAACGCAGAGCCCCTCCAGGGCTTCTCTACCACAGTCGTCACCGTTGTGGCCGGTCGCCGCCCCGGGGCACTTTGGGAGCTGTAGTTTTCTGATTCACTGCATACTGGCCCGAATAAAAAAGATGCATGGGGACAAAAACTACAATTCCCAGAAAGCCCAGAGGCTCAATTCGCGCTGTGTGGCGGGAGTGCCCTCGGAGACCCCGCCTTTTTCGACTGGAGGAGGGAGCGTTCCCGCGGATGGGGGTATGGCGGTGAGCGTTGGCTGAGAGCTTCGTGCCACAGAAGGAGGCTTAGAGAGGTTTTCTCTTTTCACCGTGCGACGCTGCCTTATTGGCAAATGCATCATCGTAGCTAAGCACCTGTGTTTAAATGTAATGCTTGAGACTTACTGAATCCTCACGAATACCCTCCACCCAGGACAAAAACCTTAACAAAAAATGGCTTCTACCATTTCCACCCTGGTGTTAGTTTTCTCTTGCCCGCAGGGGATTTCTAGGTGGCCGGCGATGCTGCTTTCTAAAGGTTCTGATGTATATTTCGCTATTTTCCCATACTCACAGAAATGAATTCAGTATGTTGTTAAATGGTGGCTAATTGGCCGTTATTGAAAACGGAGTTTCAGCTGAGGGAAATCTGTACGTTTTCATATGGCTTTGTGTCAGGTGGGAGTGCTTCTCGCTGACCTCGCTGCGGGTGTCTAGGCACCGTACTGTAGGGGTCTTCACCAAGCAAAGTCCATCCCTGGCACAAAAACCTCTATGTTTTTTTTTTCCTTCTTTTTAAAAGTAATTGTTGAGGTGAAATTCACATAAAAATAACCATCTTAAAGTGTACAATCCAGTGGCATTTGGTACACTCACAATCTTGTGCAGCTTTCGCCTCTGATTCCAAGACGTTTCATCACTCCAAAAGGAGCCCCGATGTCCATTAGTAATCCCTCCTTATTTCTTGTCCTGTTCCCAGCCTCTAGTGATCACTCATCTACTCAGAAAGCCCTGCATTTAAAGGTGTTTATTGTTCAGATACTGGAGACTATTTCCTGTATTAAGGTGTCTGAATTTGTAACCAGATCTGAACCTTTCTGTCAGAATCCTTGTCCTTGCTAATTCTGAAGCTTTCTTACCTTAACCACACGTGATTTTTTTTTTTTTTTTAAAGCAAAAACCGGTTAGGCCGGGCATGGTAGTTCATGCTTGTAATCCCAGCATTTCGGGAGGCCAAAGTGGGTGGATCACGAGGTCGGGAGTTCGAAACCAGGCAGACTAACATGGTGAAACCCTGTCTCTACTAAAAATACAAAAATTAGCCCAGCATGGTGGCCTTCGCCTTTAATACCAGCTACTCAGGAGGCTGAGGCAGGAGAATCATCTGAACCCAGGAAGTGGAGGTTGCAGTGAACTGAGGTTATCTGATGATTATGCTGTGTAAAAAAAAAAAAAAAAAAAATCTGCTGTTTTACTTAACCCTTAAAAAAATTCCTGGGGGAGAGATCGTGTCTTCCCTCCCAGCCTGGGTGACAGAGGGGAACTCTGACAAAAAAAAAAAAAAAAAAATCAGTTAAGTAATATGGATAATATGTATCTAGTGTTTTGGAACTGAAAGCAGTCTGTGAAACAATGCTTAACTTTTAGCTTTTGAACTCAGCAATTGTTCTAGTTTGACTGCCTGTGTACAAATACTACTTTCCTAGATTTCAAGTGATCACTGAACCATTGATAGAACTGTGACCAGTGGAAGGTAACTTTTTAATTTATGCAGTCATAGATCCAAATTCTTCTTTATTTTGGAAGCAGAGAAATAGTGTAATAATAAGTAGTAAAATAGAAAAAAAGATGTCAGGGTCATCTTTTTAAAGTATAGCCAAACAAAAAACATCTTAATCTATTAGTTCTATGGTACGCATAAATCATAAATAAAGGAGGAGGAGAGTAACCCAAGAGAAAAAATAAAAGCATTATTTTAGGAAGTGGTTGCTTGCTTTTTGCTAGATTTAAAATATTTTCACTAATAACTCCATGATTCTACTTAGGTTCTATTAATTCCAATGAAATTACATTTAAGTTACAGAGTTTGGCAATTTTGACTACAGTTCACCTCTATTGGTTTTGACAAATGGTGATTTAGCTATATTACCAATAAACAAACAAGATAGCTGAATAGGTACTTTAGACTGCTAAAAGAATTCTGAAATAAGAAAGGACTATCAATAAGAATAGTAGTTACTATATAATTTAAATTTTACTAATTGGTGAAAGTCCAGAAAACTTTAATGAGCTAGCAATATGTCTTTTATTTTTTCACCAGAATTATTGGCACCTGGATGGCTCTTCAAGTTACTGTAAAACAAGATCACTAACCAAAAAGTAACATAGGAAATACTAAAGATTGGAACAGTTTATCAGATTTTACTCAGTGTCATATACAGAAGGCTTTAGGTAAGGATGAAATTATATAGTGTAATAGTATGCATGTATGCCACAGAAACTCAGTAATGCTCTTCTTGTGTTGTAATAACAAAGATACACTATCACGAGTAAAACAATGAAATACCTTCTTTAGGATTGGGACTGTTGCATTTCCATTTTTGTTTCTGGCACAATGCCTGTCACAGGGTAGTTAACAAGTGTTTCTGAATTAATATAGGAAGGATTAAATTATATAGTATCAGAGTGGTATCATATATGAGGCTCAGAAACTCATCAGTGTTCTTCTTTCTTGGGTAGTAAAGACAAGGAGAGGAGGCCCTATCACTAAGAACTTTGCATTTTGTTTTTAATCTTCCCAACACTTAGCATGTAGTGGACATAGATGTTTGTTGAGTACATTTTTTCAACCAGGGGTAGTCATAATTGAGCATAGTTAAACTTGAAGAGGAAATAAAACCATTGACAATTATGCTGTGTACAAAAAAAATCTGCTGTTTTAGTTGGGACTTAAAAAAAATTCCTAGTGTCATAATTACAGTTACCATTTATTAAATACCCACCATGTACCGTATACTTTGTTAGATGCTTTTTATAGGTGATTTTTAGAATTGACCTCAAAGTTTTACAATAATTTGCAAGAAATAGGTAATTTTATAGGTAATTAACCTTAAGAAAAGTTAAATACTTGCTTAAGTAATCTAGCTAGTGAGTGATTCAGTCCTTAAGTCTATCTCATTCCAAAAGCCAATGCACTTTCCACTGTGCCAATATAACCCAACGTTAAATAAGATGCTTCATATATGCCGGGAAGTATGCCAAGTTTGAGGAAAACCAGAGTAAATAATGCGTAACCTTTTACTGCAAGGAGTTTATAGCTTGGCAGGAGAATGATTAAATGGCATCAGTAAATTACGAATGAAATGCTGTGGAAATAGTTCATTTTGGCTAAGGGAAATGGGAAAATTATTCCCCAGAAGTTTTTGAGCTAGGCCTTGAAAAAGAGTGGGGGCAGGATATGGCATATAGTCAGTAATGGTTAGTGTCCAGTGTGCTGAAACCTGATAAGCCTGAAAGTATTGTATTCTGAGACAAAATCCTATAGGCTGATCAAAGCCAGGCTATGAAAAGCCTTGAGTTTGAATCTCTCACTGCATGTATTCAGATTAAGTAATCTCTTTCATAGATTTATGTGACCTATTTTCTAATACTTCCTCATTTAAATTCATTTTATACATTCTAGCCAGATTCTGTCCCTGAAAATGGAATGTACAGATTCTCCTGCTCAAAAACTTCTTTCAGTTCCCGTTTTATATGGAATTAAGTTGATAGAATGAAGCCTATAATTAAAATAAGAATTCAGTTCTTGAGATCAGAATAAGATCGATATTCTGATCTCAATAATCCATTCCAGTCTTATTTTCTATTATCTTTTCCTTATCTTGATTAGTCTGCCACAACAAAAATATGTGCTGTAATAAAGGTATTGAACAAAGATACTAGTCTTGTTGTGTGTCTAGGCTCTCAGCTGCTTTTGGGTAGGTTCTAAGCTTAGCACTATGACATGTATAAACTATCACTCAATAGACATTTGCTGTTTTAATATATGAATGCATGAGATCAGAGAGTAACATTATGTGTTTGATTTTAGACATGTTAAAGTATTAGTAGGACACCAGTGGAACAATTAAAAATATGAGCTTCAAAATTAGGAGAGAGCAATAAACTTGGAAATCACCTATCTAGAGGTGATGAATCAATAAGAAGAGTAATTGAGCTTGCCTAGTGAGTACCTAGAAGAAAAGAAGAAGAAGAACAAGAAGAATGAGAAGGAGAAGAAGATTTAAGTATAGAATGAGGAAGAAGAGCCAGAAGGGGAAGAGGAAGAAGGAGAAGGAGAAGGAGAATAAGGAGGAGGAGAAGGAGGAGAAGAAGATTTAAGGATAGAATGAGGAAGAAGAGCCTGATGTTAGAAGGTAGACATAGAAGAAGAAAAAGAAGAGGAAGAAGAGAAGAAGATGATGATTTAAGGATAGAATAAGGAAGAACAAGGAGAAGAAGAAGAGGAGGAGGAAGAGGAGAAAGGAGGAAGAAGAGGAGGAGAAGAAGAAGATTTAAGGATAGAATGAGGAAGAAGAGCCTGAGGTTAGAAGGTAGATAGACATAGAACTAGAACAAGGAGAGGTTAGTGTCAGTGAAGCCAAAAGAAAAATGTGAAAAATGCATTATTCCACTGTGGTGGACTATGAGATGAAGCCCATTTAGAAGCTGATTTTAAAGACATAATATAAATGCAACTCTAGGGCCTAACACAGATTCCTGAAGACAAGGTATAAATAAATACATGTTTGTGGTTGATGATGGTTGATAATTGGATAACTCTCATTCTGTCCATTGGGCAGGCAGATTTGCCAGAGTGCTACTGTGATTTAAAATGTGGTAATATAAATATTAACTTGATTACTTTACACGTACCACATACCTAAAAAGTTACACAAAAAGGAATAAAAAGGGAAATGAAAAATGTGTTACTTAAAATTGCTTCAATAAAATTGTCGTTGATGTATATCTTATTTTTTTTATTATACTTTAAGTTCTGGAATACATGTGCAGAATGTGCAGGTTTGTTACACAGGTATACACGTGCCATGGTGGTTTGCTACACCCATCAACCTGTCATCTACATTAGGTATTTCTCCTAATGCTATCTTTCCCCTAGACCCCCACGTCCCAACAGATCCTGGTATGTGATACTCCCCTCCCTGTGTCCATGTGTTCTCATTGTTCAACTACCACTTATGAGTGAGAACATGTGGTATTTGGTTTTCTGTTCTTGTGTCAGTTTGC